CCCATCGCTGGGTGGGAGGTTGACTTCCAAACATGGAAAGAATCAACCTTAAATGACTTACAACGGTCATGCCTTCCCATCGATGGTTAAGCCTTCCCATCGCTGGGTTCCCATCGATGGGTAAAGCTTCCCATCGCTGGGTAAGGGCATTCTGCCTTGTGATAATGTTGGACCAAGGCTTTAACAGCGATGGGTAGAATCTCCCATCGCTGTTTGGCATGGTTCTAGAAGTTGGTTTGGCTAAGGGGCCGCTTACCCATCGATGGGATGTTCTTCCCATCGCTGGGTGGGTGGTTAGCCAAAAACCTATGGTTTTTGCCTTAACCACGGCCTAGCCAACTGATGCAAAAACCGACCGAAAAATCCAAAGTTCTCCAAAAATAAAAACCAAGTGTTTGAAACACTTATTTGATGTATTTGGCTAAGAAATCAAGTGAGTTACTTTAAAAACCACGTCATTTGAGTAAAAACCACGGCAAGCCAAGTTTACGCCGTTTTGCGTGGTTTTTGTCAAACGACTAAAAACGAAAGATGGTTTTCAAAGTGTTTTTGTTGGAGAACCGTTTAAACATGCCAAAGAGTGAAAGCAGATCATAAAATGCTGAAAACCACTTGGTTGGTTTGGATGCCAAAAACCAAAGCCGATAACCGAAAGCCGAACGCTAGTTTCTGAAAGCCGAACACTGGATGGCTTGGTTTTTGGTTTGGGGGAACACCAAGTGTTTTTAATGACTTAAACAAGTTTGAAAAATATTTTTATGATGTAAGAAATGCAATGAGAGATTTTAGCCTAAGGAGCCAAGGTGTAAAGATTGGGTCGGTCTTGATCACAATAAAGACCGACTCAATACTATGACTAAGGTCTTCGTTCTTGGTCTCCGTTTAGCTCTTGCTCTTATCTTCGTTCTTCGCCTTGTATATTCAATGTTCGACTTGATCACGGCGGTTTGGCATTATCAAAACCTGTTACAAAAACGAACACGGCTTTAGTACGAAAACGTGACAAGCCCGTGTTTCAACACTATCTTCCTCAATTCTCCACAAAAACACTTCATATTTCCTTCTATTCTGCTGTCTTGAGTGAGGAGAATACGCTGGTGCTGCCATTTTAGTTAGAGGTCACCGGAGTTGGGAGCTTTTGTCACTGAAAGTTTCGCCGTTCTTTCACCGGAATCTTCGTTTAGCATCAAGGTAAGCCCATAGATATATCTAATGACTAGAATGTTCATATAGGTCGTTTTTACGTTCATAAATAGTCATTTAGTTGAGTTTTGTGTTTGACATGCTTGAAGAACTAAGAATCATAAACCTTGAATTTGATGTTAAAAATCTGAACTAATAATACTAAAATGATCTATGAACATTGGAGAACATTTCTATATAGTTTAATTGAAGTTTGCTGACCAAAAATGACATTCCTGAAAATTGACCCAAGGTTGAAGATGACACTGTTCAAAGACTACGCGCAGAACGATAGCCAGCTACCGTCCGGACGGTACCTTGGTACCGCCGGGACGGTAGGTCGTACCGTCGAAACGGTAGGGTAGCTACCGTCTGTACCTCCATTTTAGGTTCTCTCTATCTACTACCAAACGGTACCCCGTACCGTTTTGGTGGTACCGAGGTATCGTATCACGGTACCGAGGTATCGCTAGGGGTATCATAAGTCCAAAAAAATTCAGAAACTTGATTTTCGAACTGTTAAATCCTATTTTTGATATCAACCAATTATAATCAATTTTAATATGATTTCTGGAAATAAATATGATTTTTTGATGAATTCAAGAATCTTGTTTGATGCACGACGTTAAGCTAGGGTTTTAACACTCGACGCTAGGCCGATACTTGTTAATTGTGTTGATGATGAATGATTATTATGAATGGCTATGAATGATGAACCCACTGATATAAAATGATTATGGAGGATCAAATCATGATTAAAAATGGATATATTGGTAATCTTAAGGATAAAGTATTGTTAAGGGTATCTAGAACAACTCTAAGATATACCCATGGTGATGTTGATATTGAAGGTTATCTAGAAGAACTCTAAGATATACTCAATTAAGTTAGGCCTTGCGGGTATGATGCTCGGTGGCTAGGGTTAAAACGTACGTATGGGATTCAAGAACCAAACTTGAGTACCTACTCGTTTGGGGGTACTACCGACCCAACAGTGAACGCTATGCTGTCGGTTTTTGGTTGACCTTAACTGAAGGTAAGTTTAAGATTTGAAAACCTATTAAAATATGTATATCTTAAACTAGGCATAACGGGTTAGTTAAGAATATCTTAAACTAGAATAAGTTTAAGAATTGAATTGGCCTTAGACTAAAAATATTTTAAGGATATTGTTGAATACGAATGTTGAATATTGAATATGAATGTTGAGATATTGAATATCAAAATGACTTGGAATAAAATATTGAGAATATCATGAATGAATCATATATTGTGTGCATGATATCAAATGGTTGATTATGAATTGAGATTCAATTTATGTGGTTGTTCGACGCTTTAGATATGCTTACTCAGCTTCACCGCTGAGCGTGTAGCATATTTTATTTGCTACACGCAGGTAGGCAGGATGAGTGATTGGCATATTCCTGGCAGCGGAAGGGGGCGAGACAGTAGTGGTGGATTTATGAATAAAATGAATAATTGTGTTGTTATGAGACATGGTTTAAAATTTGCTTCTGCGTTATGGTTAAACACTCCGTATTTTACTACAGTCATGTTGTTAGGCGTGTCGTAGCACCTACAAATTAATTTATTATTTTCCTTAACTAAAATCCCCCTTTATGAATTAATATTCATTAAAACATATAGATAGGGCAAGTAAGGGTCGATCCTACGAGGAAAGATACTTTTATTGATATGAAAATATATTCACTTGTCACTTTTATTGAATAAAAACTAACTAAAATCTAAAATCTAAAACTAAAGGATATGGGGGGTTTGAAAGATAATTCTAAAAAGATAAAAATGCAAATAAAATAAAGATAAAGGATAACAGATAACAGATACGAGATGGAAGCACAACAACAACTCGAACTCAGAAGAACACTCAGGGAGAAAACAAACACACAAACACAATCTCACAATAAACTTTATAAAACGTAGACAATAATATTTAACTTAAACCATTTTGAAAATACTTATAGTTTTTAATAGAAAATAAACTGAACAAATCTAATTAACTAATTAATTATGTCTTGATTCTGAAATTAAACCGCTAATTAAACTCAGGGTTAGGCTGAAAAAGAGGTCCACCAACGGTTCTTCCCTATTTTCCCATTCATATTAGCTCATGTTAGGACCAACCCTAACTCTAAACCCTACTACCCTTAGCAACCCAAAGACCAACCCTTAAGTTACTACTAAGAATAGCGCATTAAAATCTTTGGAAAACATCACTATAACAACTTTGTAGTAACACTACGGTTATTTAACAAAATCAGTTCGAGAACCTTGATTAGCAAAAACTACTTAACGAGGCAGCAATTACTAATCAAGTGACACTTGGTTTCTAGAAAAGTTCGGCTATTTAAAACAATTTGGACTTTAAAAGAATATCATTTTAAACTGGATTAGGCGCGCGTTCCTAATTTGGTCCAATTTAAGTAAAAATCAGTGAATAATAGTTCTCAGAACACCTTTTCGAGTTTTGATTTTAACAGTAGCGTAAAGCTAAAATCTCTTCAAAGTCAAATTAATCAACAAACAAAGATTCAATCTTTTTGTCAAACAATCCGGCCTAAGAAGGTTTTATAATTCCAGAGACAATAATCAATCAATAAATCATAACTTGAACAATTCAACATCAACACTCAAACAATTCAACACTTATAATATAACTTAAACATTCAACAAACATGAAATTGAAAATAGACATATTTAATATGGAGATTCAAATGCATCAATTTTAGAAATTAATAAGTTTAAAAAATCCTAAATAAGAATGGAAGTGGAATCAAAACACAAGAAAAACTCCCCTGACTTGTTCTTCTTCATTCGCACGCTGCACACAGAAGACCTGCTGGAGCCGCCGCCGGACCATATGTCGTTGCCGAGCCGCGCCAGACCTAGGGTCGAAACCCTAGGTCCGACTCTCTGTTCCGTTTCCCTCTCTGCTCTCTTCCGATCTGGTCTCTCCGTATATCTGCCCCCCCTCTCTTGTGGCTTTTTGTCTTCTTTTTATACATGAATTAATCCAGCTTTAGTCTTCAATTTGGATTAAGAATAGAAATTAGAGTTGGAATCCAAGAAGAAGGCTGGGCTCGTCCGTTTCTTGCGCTGTGCGATTACTATTGCTAAAGTAGGAGTCTCTTTTTTTGTTCTTTTTCTCCCGTTCTTTTCTAAGGAGTACTTCATTTTATCTCTTTTCTTCTTCTTTTTTTGTCTTTATTTTGTACTCTAAATATATCTTGAAATCTGTGTCAAGGAAAACAATACTTCTAAATAATTGTCAAATAAAAATATGTTCAAAATCATGCATTTTATGTATAAAATATAAACAGTAGCCTAAAGTGCTAAATAGAACAAAATATGATTATTTATGTATAAAATGCATATAAAATATCATAAAAGTACTAAGAAATGAGAGAATAAAATATGACATTTTGTGACTCAACACATGTATTGAATATTATTTTATGATGAATAAAGATGTTGAAATGTTTTAAATTTTTACGATTTCCAAATTAATACTCCCTCCGTCCCACTATATTCGTCCACTTTTGACTTTTGGAACTGTTCATCTAAGCACTTTAACTCATTAAATTCTCTCAATGTGTAAGCCTAAATATAGTCATGCGTGATCTTGTTTGATTTGTCTTAACATATAGATTATTAATATATAATTTTTATAATTTTTTAATATACAAATTATAAGATAAAATGAATTAAAGAAGTGTATTGGATGGTGTGCAAAAATGAAAGTGGACAAATATAGTGGGACAGAGGAAGTATTTTATTTCGAAAGAGGCTGCAGACCAAGACGGGTTAGGGTGTTACAGTAAAACTCGAACTCAATCAATTAATTTGACACCCGATTTATAAAACATGAGATTTTTCGTACTCTAAGTTTATAAATTGTCAATTTCGAAATGGAATTACAGAAATAAGCCGCGCACTCTTATTCAAATAATCTATCCCAAATAATAAATTAAATCCATTTTCAATTACAACAAGTAATTAAATACGGAGTACCAAATAAGCTCAAATGAGTTTGATATACTCAACAAATAATTTTCAATCCATTATTAAACCAAGACAAAGGGAATTGGAATAGCTCAAAGATAAATCACGTATACAGGATCGGGAATAGCTCAAGCCTCGATTCACGATTGAGAAGAGGTCAAACGACGTGAACCAATTGGGGAAATAAAGAGGGGAATATGAGACATTCTGACATATACCTAACGATCTTTGGGTTGAATTTATTTGATAATTTAGGTACCGTGGTAGTATATTTTGAAAAAAATAGGAATTGGTAGTTCTTACTTCCTCAGTCCCTAAATATATCTCACATTTTCTTTTTCAGCAGTCGCGAGAACTTTTTTTTATCTTTACATTTTCACTGGTTATTTGATAAAATAAAATATTCTTGACACATGCTATTTCGAAAAAATTTTATTTAGTTTTTTAATATGTAAATTTTATTTTTTATTTCTATACCAGTATGTAAATAAAATAAATTGAAAAAACTTGATATTTTACCTCATATTTTGAAAAAAAATAGGAATTGGTAGTTCTTACTTCCACAGTCCCTAAATATATCTCACATTTTCTTTTTCAGCAGTCGCAAGAACTTTTGTTTATTTCTACATTTTCATTGGTTATTTGATAAAATAAAATATTCTTGACACCTATTATTTCGAAAAACTTTTATTTAGTTTTTTAATATGTAAATTTTATTTTTTATTTCTATACCAATATGTAAATAAAATAAATTGAAAAAACTTAATATTTTACCTCGGTACTAGAAATGTGAGAAATATATAGGAACAGAGGGAGTAAAACAAACTGAGATATCACATAACTTTTTGTTTTTTAACTAGATTCATACCCGTGCGTTGCACAAATAGAAACATGTCCCAAAATATAAATTACATAATATTTGAATGAAATGTTTAAGTAAAAACAAAAATTAGTTAATTATCTAAATAGAAATTCACATAGAGTTAACTATTGTATCACATCTCAAGTTTAAATACATATAATTACATAACATTTGATAAAACATCTACATTTTATGAAAAAAAAATCTTTATAATAGTTGTAGAGAGTGGATGCTGTCCATCTTAGTTACAAATCAAAATCTTTACACTACTGTGATTTGTAACTTTTGAAGTTATAAGATATAATTGTCAATAATTTGAATATATGTTTTTTTTAAGAAGGCCTAAGTGAGACTAATTGGTTTTAATTTTTTTTAAGAGTTATAAGACATGATATCATTATGAAGAATTATTGTCTTTCAAACTTGAAAGCAAATTTTGGATATGAATGATAATCTTGGAATGGACAACCTCTTGACTTGTAGGCGTACCAAATAAATAAAATGTGTTGCCAAACATGTGACAAATAAAATGGTCTCATTGTACAACCCCATTGTGTGATCAATATTGTTCGATAACATCATTAATGTGTCAAATTTTAATCTTAGTTCATGATTTGGATCATTCGAAACATGTATATTGTTCAAAAATTCCGACAAATGTAATTCACTAAATAAACTTACATACTTTATATGTCCGAGAATCATTGTTTGGATTCAATTTTAATAAAAGATGGCGATTTAATATTACTGCGTGGAATCCATGTCCATAGTGTACAATTTACTCTACCGTGCAAAGCCCTATTCATCTTGAGTATTAATATATATTCAAAGAAGTGGTGGAGCATTCTATCAAAGTAAAAGTTTAATTTTTTAATACACAGAATAAAAGCATTTTAACTCACATATATGGGAAAATATTCATTTCTTAAGACAACTAAAAGTTCATTAAAATACAACCAACCACTATTTATCACGATGACGATGCTTTTGATTGTTCATAATATTGAAATGCGTTAAATGATTGNTAATGGAGTATAATTATGTGGAGAATCGTTTTGTTGTCTAGGAATTTTCTTTATAATCCCTTTCCGTGTTTAGGGGCTATTTTTTAATTGGCATACTAAGGCATTTAATTAATTTGAATATGACGTTTCAGATTTCAACAGATTGTTCCAGAAAATGCACGGCGAGCAGTTCCACAATCCCACCACTCACATTTAATATACGGTGATCAGAACCGTAGTTTTTTTACAGAAATAAAAAAAAATCAACTGACATGCAAAATGGACATGTGCTAATTGATTGTGCTCAATCTGTGCCGTTATACATACACGGCCAGATAAATATATAGATTGTGCTAAAAAGACGGCTAGATAAATTTAGCACAATAAATTCCATGGAATTTTATGTTTGGGTGGGATAACATCTTTTTTTTTTCATTTCTCTTTTTTTCACTTCCTTAATACTCCGTAATATTATTTTACTTTCCAATGTAGTATACAAATAAATATATACATTTCTAATAAAAGAGCAATATTGTCAACTTTTACGGAATATTATAAATGTAAAAAAAAATTGATTTCTAATATAAAAAAGTGGCAATAATGCCATCCTTTATACGGATATTCATATTCATATACAAACAAAATAATAGTGTGAAATGGGCACTGATTACACACGGACACAACATTAATTGCATATTCCTAATTAATTATGGCATTAATAACTTATGCATTTCGAATGCTAAATTCTCAGCCCTTGATTACTCACCGATGACAAATCAATGGTTGTTATTTCAAGACCCATTGGGCGGGGAAACATCTTGACATATTTTTTTTTATTTTTTTTAAAGCTTGATTTCTTTTGCTTTTGTATATAGTATAGATTAGCCTAAAATTGAGCCCAAACTAGGCCCACCCGCTCCCAAAGACAACCCACGTCCCCCACTCCCGCGCACGCTCCCCTAACATCATCAGACTTCATCGACTTCCTCGTCACTTTCAATCCACCCAGGCCTCCTTCGCCCCACCACCTCAGAGCACGCTCCAGCACCCTCGATTCCCTCTGCTGCGGCACCCTCCTCTGGCGCCGGCAGCCGGCATCTCCCCTCTCGTCTTCATTTCTTCAATCCCCAATTTCAATGGAATCAATTCATGTGAAGGCAGTGTAAATTACTAAATTTCTTCCACACCTGCATTGTTTCTTTTTTTTCCTTGAAATTTTTTCTTTATGAATTTTATCATGAATAATGATTTGATTGTATCCATTTAGAATTTAATTGCCCCTTTTTCTGAATTTCTGTAAATTTAGTGAGATATTTGTTTGCTAATTGAAGTCTAACTTTCAATTTGGTATTCTACATAGGCCAAAATTTACTAGTTATGTCTCCTAAACACGAATCGGAGAATTGATCGGTTAGCTATCTCAGTATGTAATTATAATACTATGATTTTCTTAGGTTTTATTATGTATTACTATAACGTTAATTGTCATTTAAACATAATTAGTTTGTACATAATTCATTTTCTTGGGTTCCCTTTTTCTATTTTTTCCCGGGCCCTTGAATTATTAGGACCCGTCTTGGGGAGACTAAAAAGACAAAAAAATTAATGCATCTAGATTCTTGTACTCTCGCTGCTAGATTCAGAACTTGTTCTGATATTTAGATTGAAAGTGTAATGCCTCAAAGCCAAAACCCTCAATTTAGATCTTGTAAAATATGTGTAGAGCTTCAGATTTGGATTTTTTTGTATAATTTCTGAAGATTAAAATTGAAGCATGGAAGAATGAAGAAAAGGGCTTAGAAAATAAAATTTTAATAAATGGTGCAACCCTGATCTTGCAACCTAGAGACGGAGAGAGACGAAAAGAGTTGTTGGAGCTCAAAAATGTTGGATGTTCTATACTTTAAGAGAGTTGTTGGAGCTCAAAAATGTTGGATGTTCTATACTTTAAGAGAGTTGTGTTTGATACTTTTTTTTTTATCACAAACAATGCCTATTTATAAGTAATTTTACACAAACCATAGATCAAGCTAAAAGTACTTTTTCCACAATTTAAGTATTGTTTTTGGATTAAAATTGATCAAATCCTCACTTGGGTGATTTTTGAACCAAATGGGTGACTTTCGGATCACATGGTTACCCAAAGTGGGAAATCTTGGACCCAAAGCCCAGATTGGCTCATTTTGAATAAAAGACATTTGGATTCTTCCGAGACCATTCATTGATTCACTCCCTCCGTCTCGCACACACACTAAACCCTAGAGAGGGAAAGAGAGCGACGGTAAGCTCTCATCTCCAGCGACCTCCGGCGTGTGAGGCTTCACGACCAACATAATTGGAGAGAGGACGACGAGAGCTTGCCTCTGATGTGCATTACACGATCTAAGTTTCATCTATTGAACCTTGAGTCTCATTTGTAAAGGTATAAACCTATAACCCTAGTTTCTACATTTTGTTGCTTAGATTTTAGGTGTTGAATGTTTGAATAGAATATTATTAAGACAGAAGCTCAATGTTTGTTTGATTTTGTTGTTGATGTGAACTAAAGTTTGTATTCAAAGTAATTTGCTAAGATTTGAGCTATGATTGTGTGATTTAATAACTTGTTAACATTTTACCGCTTATTAAGTGTTGAGAATGATGATTGCATATATTCAAACTTGCTATCTTGTTTTCGAACTTAAAATGAGTGAGTAATCTGTTTAGCCATAGTTAATTTTGTGCATCTGACTCTGTGAATGAAAATCATGTGTTCAAGCTTGTTATGATTTATGCTGATTAAACTAAGGAGTTGGATGTTATATGAGCATGAAATTTATGATGTTTAAGATTACTTTGTTTGTTTAAACATATTAACATGGTAACCCTTGCCATTACTAGTAATCTATTCTTCTGAGAGTACACCATTGCTAAGGAAGACAGATTTAGGTGTCAAATACTCCGTAGTGAAGTCCGATCAAGTAGTTACTTATCTCTGTTTGCTGACCTTCTAACATTGTTCCATTATATGATCTTGCTGGTAGGATTGTAGTGTAATCTTGAGTATTGCCTTTCTTGTTGATTGCTCCCTTTTTCGTTAAATGTTTGGGCTAGTCTAGAGATTGCTATTAAGGGTAGGTTAGTTGTTTGGGGATGGTTTCAGACCTATCTACACTATAAGGATTTGCAGGTGGTTAACTCAACCAGTTCAAGCTGCTTCTGTGTTTAATTGATCTTTGCTAATGAATCACTGATTGGACTTCACAAATTTCACAAACTAAACCAAGGTGCCTTTTCCCAAATTAAGAAGATTTAGCTCTAATCACTTTTTGTCTTTTACCCTCCTGCTCTTTAGTTTCCTTTTGATCTCTATCTTTCTGTTTCTTAGTATTTATTTTATTTTAGTTCTCAGTTAAACATCAAAACCCCCTGTGTGTGTCAGAGTGTGTTTACTTCTGTGCCTTCTTGGTTATTTGCTTCTATACCCATTTCCAGTTTAATAACCACTAATCCCTGTGGAAGAACGACCCTACTTACCCTTTCTTTAAGAGTTGTAGTTGGTACGTAGATACTCATTTGTTACACCCTAACAAGGTGTCAAAACAAGTCAATAAGGCTGCTTGATTGAAGAGCGACATAGATTCTCCAAGTACAATTTGAGATTTCTTTGGTTTATTCTTCTATCATGCATTGATGAACCACACTATTTCTTTGGTTTTGATAGCTAGATTCTGAAGTATAAAAAATTGATAATGGTTGGAGTTTGAATTGTAGAAGTGCAGAATTTATAGTTTATGAATCATAATGATGTGAAATTTTCCGAAATATAGTAAACTAATTTGTTTTTAGAGAATAGTTAAAATATTTAATAAAATAAAATTCTCTGAATTTATTAAATTGTTTAATTAAAGTAAATTTTCTAAAATTTGTTAAATTTCTTGTAATTAAATTGTTCACTTTTATGGTACTTATTTTAGATACATGAGTCCCCTTTTTAGTTTAGATACAATTTACTGTGAAACTAAATTGGTTTTATTTTATAAAATTTATTTCTCTCTCCATCCAGGAATGTTCTTCCAAAATTGACTTTTCACTCATTTTAAGGAGAGTTGAAAAAACAAAGCAAATGTCCATTTTACCCTTAATGAAAGTGTGTGGAGTATGTTAATTAAGGTGGGTGGGGTGTATTGAATGAGGAAAGTAAGGGTAATTGTGGTATTTTAAATATTGAAAAACGTAATTGGATGATCTTTTTTTGGATGAAATGGGATTTGGGAAGAACTTTCCCAGACGGAGGGAGTAACAAACATAGAAATTAATAGTTAAAGTGATGATTTTGTATATAAATATGCAAAGAAAATGTCCATTTTTATATAAATTTTAACTTAGATTTTTTCCCTACATATTATCATTGCAATAAATTCAATAATTAATATGATTGATTTAAATTTTGTAACTATGAAGTGTAATGTGATCACAAATTTTATTTTTGCACAGGGTCCTCGTAGGTTCAAGATCGGCCTTGACATTTGAACCACTAGTTTGCTCACTGAACTAGTGAATCTCTACATTGACTGGTTTGATCACTTCATCTCTCTCTATCACTCGTAGTTTTTTTGTTTCTCCATTATTTTGTGTCCCTCTGGTGAGCCTGGTTGTAATCTCCGATTTCATTGATTATTTCAATAGACCAGGCCATACGCATGAATACATGATCTACTGGCGTTGATGCAGAGAAAGTTCATTGACTGACGAGAAAGAAAAGAGTTTTTGGATATATGTCTGCTGATACGAATGTATTGAATCATGAATCTTGGATATATCCAATTGGGCATGATTGAGATTTCTGATGAAAAAATTGGGGTGGCAAGGTTGCTTAATTTCTGGGGCACTTAGACCCAGTTGATCTTCAGGTCCGATATTTGATAAAATACCCAACATTGTTTGGGCTTTTGATCCCTTTGTTCGGAATTTGAATTCCATTAATGGCTCGAGTATGAATTGAGATCAGTTTCACATATTTGCGATACATATGGAAGCAGCCAATATCAGGGGAACACACAGATGGAAGAAGAGAAGTTCCTTTCAGACTCTAAGAAATTCACTTCTTACTTTGATCGTCTTCTCTTCTCTCCTTCTCCTCTTCTTCTACTTGAGACGCTACTTCGTTTCACCCTCTCCACTTCCTCTTTCCATAAATTCCCCGTTGTTTGCACCCCCGCGATGTGGCTTCTCCTCCAGAGGGAAGTTCCTATGGTACGCTCCCCACAGTGGGTTCAGCAACCAGCTTTCCGAGTTCAAGAACGCTCTCCTAATGGCTTCGATCTTGAATCGAACCCTGATTGTCCCTCCGGTTCTCGACCATCACGCTGTTGCTCTGGGTAGCTGTTCCAAATTCAGGGTTCTAAGCCCCCCTGAGTTGAGATTCGCTGTCTGGAATCATAGTATCGGGCTCTTATGTGATTGCAGGCAAGTCAGTTTCTTTGTTTTTTTCATTACCCTTGAGGATTAAAAGTTTATGCTTCTGTCTATATATATTTTGTAGCTGTTGTGTTTAAGATTCTTGTTTGCAATTGGACATTCATAGAGTTGAATAAGTCTAAAGTTCTATTTCACAGATTTTTTTTCTTGTTCTGAGAGTAACAACTGTTTATAGTATAACAGTTGAAATGAGCTTTATATGTGCCTCGATGTTTATCCATTTTGTCGTGAAAGCCATATGAGGCCTTAAAGATGTTTCTCGATCGTCTTAACATCTAATTATATTTCTAATGGGAAGACGTTTACACTACTAGGTTTTCTGTTTATCACTTACATTGCTTTTTATCTGGTTGCAGATATATTTCTATGGCGGATATTGTCGACATTGCAGCAGTTGTGTCTACGGCAGTCAGTGTTGTGGACTTAAGAGCTTTTGTGTCTGAATGGTGTGGTGTGAAACTGGATCACTTATGCAGTAGAAACCAGATTGCTCAATCTTCATTGCTCCAAAAGCTAAATGAATGTGGGTCTTTGCTGTCCGGAAAATATGGAAATTTAAATAGTTGTTTATATGCTGTAGATGAGGATTGCAGGACGACAGTTTGGACATACCAAAAAGACAGCAAAGATGGTACTTTAGATTCATTTCAACCAAATGAAGAAATCAAGAAGAAAAAGGAGATTTCCTTTGTTAGGAGAAGGAGAGACGTGATCCAGACCCTTGGACCTGGCTCTGCTGCAGAATCATCAAAAGTTCTTGCCTTTGGGAGCCTCTTCACTTCCCCATATAAGGGTTCAGAGTCTCACATCGATATTCATGAAGCTCCCAATGATCCAAGGATAGATTCCTTCATCAAGCGGATCAAATTCCTCCCCTTTGCACCAGAAATTATTGGTGCGGGAAAGAAGTTTGTTCATGATAAAATCAAGGCTCCTTTTCTTTGTGCTCAGCTTAGACTACTTGATGGGCAGTTCAAGAACCACTGGAAAGCCACTTTCCGAGAACTGAAGCACAACTTAGAGTCTTTGAAACAAACTGGACCCAGTTCTGTTCATGTGTTTATGATGACTGATCTTCCCGTGTCAAATTGGACGGGAAGCTATTTGGATGATATCGCAAAAGATCCAAGGATTAAGCTGGTTCTCCTAAAAAATGATGACGATTTGGTCACAGAAACTGCTAGGAAGATTTTTAGTGCAGGACATGGTTTGAAGCTCGGGTCTATTTCAAAACGTTCCAGCAATATTCAGGAGAATCGTTGGTGGAGTGCTCAAGCATTGCCTGATGTACTATTATACATAGAGGAAACTGTCTGTAGCTGTGCTTCTCTTGGTTTTGTGGGAACTAGTGGTTCAACTATTGCAGAGAACATAGAATTGATGAGGAACTATGACATATGTAATAGCTGAAGTAGTTTTACGATTTACTGCTTACTTAGTAATCTGGATTCTTGTTACTTTTAATTAAAAAGGGGTTATATAAACTGGCTTTTTTAATTTGGGATTTGAATTGGTTTTTTTAATATGGATTCTCTCACTTTTTTCGTCTTGATACATGTGAATTGGGTTAGAGATGATAGGCAAAACACATCTCGATACTAACGGCCTATTGTAAGAGACACGGGAGTTTCAATTTCGATCTAAAGTAAGATGTTTGAATTCCAAGTTTTAAAACCCTCGAACTTTCTGAATCCAAGAACGGTGAGGGCACACTCCCGTTTGAATCATGTGGCATCAAACTTTTCTATCTGTTACATTAGTTTTAACTTTCATTTAATTTACCTCATATTTTACTGGAAATAGATTTGAAGTCCCGAAGCTTCAAATCTGTATTTTTGAATGTTTTTAATACACATTTTGTAAAACTAAATTAATAAGAATTAATTGATTAATTAGATTTAAACGACAATAATTCATTAAATAAAAGAATTATATTAATAAAAAAGATTTCAATAATAAGAACATAAATAAAAAATTTAAAAATTACATTACGTTATGAAGAAATTAATGATTATTTGAACGACTAACAATATGTTCAATCAAATTTGCCGTTTGTGAATTGTGAATCTCTTGTCTTTGAATTTCTTAGCAGTTTATTCGTCTCTTTTCTTCGTCGATTTCTTCGTATGTAGGCACCTCCTCGTCCGGGTTGTAATGACAAATTACAAACTCGTTGTCATCTATAATCATATTATGAATAATAATAATAATACATGGGTACATGATATTCCTCATTTTCGTTTGAGAATAACACTGGACGGATGATTTATAATGTGGCACTTACCCTCCAACACTCCGAAGGCTCGTTCGATATCCTTTCTCGTCGCCTCATGAAGTTTTTTGTACGTCTGGTGTTTAAGACTAATTGGTTCTGAGAAGGACTTGATAATTGTGGAATAATCAAGATATAATTTATCGGCAAGATAATATCCACGCTTGTAAAACGTCCCTTTAAGCTCAAAAGAAGAGTCGGGTGCAGTCTCATTAACCCAATCATAAAAAACGGGCGACTGATCAAAAACATTGGTGTTGTTGTTTGAGCCCGCAACACAAAAAAAGCATGCCAAAATCACAAGTCATTTGAAGCCAGCCACAATTTCGAGCATAATAGTAGGTTTGGAATGATCACCCGAGAGAACTGATCATGCCACACAGTGGGACAATTTTTCCATACCCAATGCATGCAATTGATGCTTTAAGTATGCCAACAAAGCCGTGTTTAGCGGCATGCACCACTTGTAACTGCTCAAAGTCGCTCGTCGTTGGTTTACGTAAATAGCTCTTATGATAAAGTCGAATAATTGCTCTAGAAAATTTGTAAACACATAACTTGATGTTTCGAGCCAACATCTTCAAGTGTTTATCGAACATATCAGTAGCCGTCCTGTACGCCATCTGACGAAGCGCGGCGGTGCACTTTTTGTTGGAATGCATGAGTTCAACCCTTTCTGTGTTGTTAAGTGTTGACTCACAGGTTTTGATAATTGAAAAACACAACTTATTCAAGTCAAGATCAAAGTGCTACAACGACAAACACGAAGACTTGAGGTACCATTCCTTGAAGTATTCAAGAAGGTGCACAGGATTTTATTAGAGTTCGAGTCGCGTTCGTGCGCCTAACGGAGGACTCGGAGGAGTAGAAGATTTCCGAAGACTTTTTATTTATTTGAGTCGTACGAATAATTGTAAGGATGACAATATCTTCTGCACAAAACAATTTAATTTCTGAGGGATAAAAATTATTTTTGAGTCAGTTGAAAAATCACTTTTCCTCTGTCTAAAATATTTTTGTGAGTCAGTTTCAAAATTAGTGTGTCAAAATTTCGTTAAAACATTTTTAAGATTACACAATTTTCTTTGGTGAGAAAAATATACTTTAAATATTTTTTCGTGTATTGTTTGACACACAAAATAATTTTTGGACTCTCTTTTTCTCTCCCCTACTCAAATTCATTGAATAGGGAGATATAATCCTTGGAGCGTGCCTTGTTATTCTCGTTGTCCCAAACAACGAGTTAGAAGCCAAAGTGCTTCCAATCGCACTTGGCTTGGGCCCTTTGTGTTTGCGCATTATTTTTCATTTTAATCGATTATATCCTTT